ATTCATAGATTTGTTATCTATGTTAATTTAACTTGTAATTGGTGAATCAAAAGTAGGCTACTTTATAGTGCGTAAAGTTTCTATGAATTTAAGATCAACTGTTTAAATCGTCTTGTTTTAATTATTATTTTTATTTATTTATTCGCTATAACTAAAAAAAATGCAAGTTATTTTCATTGAATAAAAAAATTCATAATTTATCCGGCAATAATCACATGTAAGCCAGAAAAATAAGCCGGCTACCATTTTTTCTGGGGTGTACCCCAGAGAGACCATGAAAGATCGACAATATGCACCAATCAGATGATCTGCACTAATTAAACAACCTAATAAAACAATCGAATTGGAGTTGTGACTGAAATTATGGCTTATCTTATACTAAAATTTTACGTTTGTTAGTGCGCAGTAGGTGGTTTCATAGATAGTCGATCGTTAGAAAGATCTGATTGGTGCATCTGCGACGATCTTTCATGGTCCTACTGAGGTAGCTACGGTCGTTCCTTGATCATAACGATAATGAAAAAATTTACCCCGCGATTTTCCGAATCTGTTCTGCCGTACCAATCGTGAACCTGCAAATTATTACTAGTGTTACATCACATACTTTGCGCCACATTTAGACCACATTTAGATCCCGTGCGGCTAGAGTTTAACTCAAACTTAACTAAATTTGGATATGCACCAATTTTCAGGGTCCGAAAGTATAACTATCCATAAATTATATTGACACAAGTATGACAAACGCTCGAACGAATTCAACCAAGAGAAAAAATGGATCTTCCAACTGTACTGTTGCAAGTTGAAGAAGCTTGTGCTGACTTGCAGGTGTTTATTATGATTGAGTGGTCAGAGTTGGCACCATTTTTTGAGAACTAGCAAATATCATGTAAATATGTATAAAACAACGTTGAGATACCTTTCTCGTAATTTTTTTTTTGTACAAATTTTTGTATCAGAAAAAGTATAATAAAATATACATTCATTTCAATAAATTCTTAGCATGATAGTAATATAATATAGAATAATCTAATGTATTGACAATTACTTTGCCGAGTTAATAAGTCAAGAAATCTAATCGAACGAAGTTTCGAATTAGAAATCAGTAAATATTATATTAATTTAAACCTACATATTTACATTTAAGGTACCATCTACCCGTCATGCGGGTGAGCAAGTCATTATGAGCTTTAAACAGATGTCGGGAAACTTGGACGCATGCCAATATATTCTTGGTATGAAATTCAACATTAATAATCTTAAGACATTACTTATTCTAATAGTTTCTGGCCTTTGTGACATGAATATGTTATGGCATCTTCTTTTAGAAAATACACAATCCCATGTTGTACAATTTTACATGGCGTTATCGGTGAGAGAATCCGTGATTCGAGATTACGTTTTGTATTCGAAGGAATATTTGTCGAATTTAAAGAATTGGTTGTTGAATTATTGTTTACAGCGTCCAAAGTACGTATCTTTAATTATTTTTTTATCATTCAAATTCAACTAAATAATATTTGTATTTGCAGTCTCGCGATATATGTCCAAAAACAAATCCTTCATGCTATTTCAGTCATGATCAAAAGAAGCCTTGATGATTTTCATGAAATTGAAAAACGATCAATATTGATACAGATTCAGGAGCTTGTGGCAATGGATGGTTACAACGTGAGTATATGCGTGTTAATTGTACAAAATCAAATTATTATTGATTTTCACCTAATATTTGCATGGTCTTTAGCGTCAAGTTGGTGTTGCTTTAGCCAATGAATTGGCTGATGAATTTTCCACAACAAAAGCAAGCAACGTTGGCCTTCCTTGGGATTTTCATAAAAAAACCAAAGAATTCTTTGAAGTTAATATCAAATTCAACATTTAATTATTTTGGTAAATCTTTTGTTATTAAATATATTAAATATATTAAATATATTAATGATTTTCAAAATTCAGGCTACCTTTCTTCTCCCGTTGTTTGAACTAGTTCTTCGAGTTTTGCATCAGCGATCACAATTATACATCGAGAATCAATTATCGCAGGCTTTCACAAATGGGCATGGTCATTCAACGACAATAAACAATTTACAAAATGATTTGAGGCATGATACGCTTTTAGAGATTTCGTTGAATCTTGTAGAAAAGATCCTATACTGGGATTTTACCAGTAAAAATGATTCTTTGTTAGCGGGTACCTTTGCAAAAGAAGGGAACGACATAATAGAAGACGCATTATTCATCACCGCTAAAACGCGAGAGTTTCCTGCTAGTTGGAGAAGTCATATAATTCATAATGAAGTCCTACGGATGTTTTTTACAGTGGCGTATTTAAAATAGATTCTTTTTATACTTATTTTTCAATTAAAGAAGGATTAATAAAATGATTATTATATATTTATTAGCTGTATAAAATTGTACAACAAAATGAGGCATTAGCACATCGTTGTAGACAATGCTTGGTTCAAATTTCTGGTTTACATGGAGAGATCTTTGAAACTGAGCAGCAGATTATTGAATATATTACTCTTATGATTAAAGAAATATCAGAATTGATGAGCAAGTGAGTTTTGATACATTTAATTTGGAGTTTTTTCCTATATAACTAATGATGACCTATATGTTATAGTCTTTTGAGTAGTATGCATGAAAAAGTTGCTTTACATAAATACGGGCAAAGTCTCCTTGGCACTTCGCAAATGATTCGAAGACTTCTTTGCACTTTTCCATTGTCAGTCTTATGCAATGTCCCTGATATATCAACTTTCCTGCATGAAGTTGCCCAACTCAGTGCAACATGTTTAAGGGAAAGTGTTGTCATGAAAGATGGTTATTTGGCCGAAGATAGTTCATGGAGTCTAGAGGCTTTTGACGAACTGTTGGCAATATGGGTTAAATTGGGTATAGCCGATTATTTTTCCTGATGCACATTACTAAATTTAAGCTTTCTAATCATTATTGTTAACATTCAGTTCAAGATGTTCAATCTTATCGCAATGGCCAGAACGAAAATCGGTCGATTCCTTTTCATAATCTTACTGCAATTATGACTTTTTTAGCCGAAGCAAGTTATCATATCGTTGCGACTTACATAGATACTCGTTTGGAAGCGGCAAAATTTACAGTCAATGAAGAAGAAGAGGAAGAAACAAATGGTTTTAAAGATTGGGTACGAATATAAACATTATTTCTTTGTTATCATCGAAGTGTGAGCATTTAAACTTAATTGGCTTTATTTTTTCATGTGCTAGGATACTTATGGTGATCAATTACTTAGTATTTCCATATTAGCCCGTATTGTTGGCCAGCAAACATTGGAAAAACTCCAAGCCTTGTTGCACGAGCGTCTTATGCAATTAAAATTATTTTTTGAATCTATTACAGATAATAGTAGACCTACAATTTCAGGCATGTGACAATTACAAAAAGCCTTTGAAAAAAAAATATTTCGCCCTTATTGAACAATTTCTTAAAAACTAGAAATTTACTTATACAGATCATTCATTGTTATATATTTATGAGAGTCTCCACTGGCTGATTCTCATATCTGCATGCGTATTAGCTGATCCCGGTGAAGGCGAACAACCTTTAGTTCCCGATTCATTGATGCAATCGTCGATTTCCCAAGTAACTTTGAAATTTTGACAAAACCAGCCTCGAAATTTCATTTAGACAAATATTTAATTGGTTTTGATTTATTATTTACTTTAGGAAAATCTTGGGAAAAATCATGATCAAATAGTTATGCTCCTAAACACAGTGTTGGGCATATTAGATCTAGTATCTTTAGATACGTCCGTTATTGAGGTTTTTATTCGTTTTATTACGCAATGCATATATTTTTCATATTATAAGTATTTAATTATTAATTAAATTCTTTGGCCCATAGATATCACATTGTAGTCCCCGAGTTGCAGAAACTTTATTCTGGTTTTTTGAACGGTGGGGAAGAACTTACTTACTCATCGATGAAAGTGATTATCAAAGCATGAGGTAATTATAACATCGGCATATTTATATTGTAACATATTCAAAAAACGAATGGATTGTTAGGGAGTATCATTTATATAATTTTATTCATATTATGTTAATAGCAATAATATTGTTTGCGCGTTTGGCAAACCTGAAAGTCACGGCGAAGGAATGCGTATTTTGCATTTTTTGGTAGATAAGATCAAGACAAATTTTATCCTTTGGAATGGTGATCCAGATCCTTTATTACAGGTTGGAGATTTGCTTTCGTTCTTTTAATTTTATTACGGATCATGTATCATTTTTGACCAAAATCGTGCAGATCATGTGTATCTGGCAAAATTATTGTTAATTTCTTTCGATTGAGATATTGAATAGCGTTTGCTAAAAATTAACAAATAAATAATTTGGCAATACATTATAATCCTTTTATAAAACATTGCGACAATTTTATGAAGGCGAATACTAATGTTGCACACTTTATTTCTTGATAGATTGTTAGATTGCTAAACTCTTATGGAAAGAAGTCTGCGTTGAGAAATGGGTTGCTAAAGTCTGGTAATGATTGCATGATTTAAATGAAGTTTTAATTTTGTTCACTTTTTTATTAATTTTTACACATAAATATAGATAATTTCCCCGAATTGCTCACATTTTTTACAGAAAACTTGGATCATTTTCCACAAATGATTCATAAGTAAGTCTATCTTAAATTCTTAGTCATTTTTCAATAATTAGTATTGAATTTTTACCAACGAAGTTATATAGTTCATTGATTCAGACGATAGCAATAATAACATCAGGTGCTGCTGATGATGAAATCAAGCAATCGTACTTTCAAATGATCACTGGAGCTATTGAGGTTCTTATGCTTTTTGTATAAAACCTTTCTAACTTTGCGCGTTTGCTGAAATTAAATCGTTTGGCTTTAGAAACGTTTTTTAGCGGTTTTGCAGAGACCTGATTTTTCACAAATATATCAACAAGCTGATATCATTTCTGAAGTTCAAAATGCTTTAGAGGTGAATGTTTCCTTTTTAAATTTTAAATCTATTGTTCAAAATGTTAAATATATAATTGCTATTAAACAGATGTTTGATGGTCTTGCATTGGCTTCTAACTTTTCCAACACGACACTCATTTATGACTTTTGTTCAAAATATTTTGAGTTCTTTGTGAGACTTTTACAATATTATCAGAATTGTCCCGAGGTTGGGTTTCTTGTGTTGCAATTCTTTAATTCGTTTGTAACTTATCAAGACTTTTCCGAGCTATCACCAGAACAAACAAAAACTGTGTACCAGACAATTGTGGAAATGTTTAAAGCGTATTCTGAAGCTAATATAGGTGTGTTTATTGTTGTAACAAATATATTTATATATATTTTATATAGTTAGTGATTTAATCTAAAATTATATTTAATGTTTATAAATGCTCAGGGAAGAAACAACTTGTGGCCTCTGAGGAAGAAACTGATGAACCATATGCAGATATATCTATCCTATTAGATATGCTTTCTGAAATTATGGCATCAGAGTTTCGAGGTTATTGTATGTTATATTAGTAAAGGGGTTTGCACATAATTACTTGATTACTTATTTGGATTTTCCTTTTTATAGCATTTGATTTGGCACAAGAGACAAAAACTACAACAGATTGTGATGTATCCAGTGTGGTTTTTTATGGGGTTAATCTTATAATACCATTGATTAGTCTTCAGGTTTTGAAGGTAAGTGTTTCAATTCGTTTGATCTGAATTGGGAGTTTCTTGAACTAATTCAAATCATATTATAGATTCCGAAAATCTGTAAAGAATATATGAGGTTAATTGCACATATTGTGGAATTTTACCCGGATAAATTAGGAGTTCTTCCTGCTGAATTACTTAATAATTTATTTGCGTCTCTGGAATATGGAATTGAAAAATATCCTTTATTTGCTAATATCGATTCATCTCGATTTTTTAATATAATCCCTTAACTTCAAAATTACTCCTATATATGAAGTTTCACGTCTTGCATATCAGGCCATTACACCACTGGCTCTTTATTTCCATAATGAAGAGCGTAAAAAAGGGAGTGCTATGCAACATCTAAGTTCACCTCTTGACAAATTTTTACAAATTGTGCTTGAATGCTTTTTGTTCAAAGATTTTGAGGCAGACTTATTAGAACCTGCGTCAGAAACATTGGTTGCCTTAATATGTTCAAGAAGGGTAAGCTATTTCTATTAAATATTTATGTTTATCTATTGATGAGATTAAAATTATTATCAAAATCGCAGGAATATTACAATCACTTGGTACAAACTTTCATATCCAACCAAAATTCGCCTGAACTTCGCACTCGACTTCATGACGCTTTTGCAGCTTTATCTTCCGGAGTTCCGCATACTCTTCCCGAAACTTTACTTCGTCGTCGGGATGTTTTTGGTTTCCGAGAAGTTTTATTCAGATTCCTGATGAACGTGCGCGGTTTCTTACGTGTAAAATAATGATAGCATAATATTTTTATACGTTCAATAAATTTGGATTGGATAATTACAGTTGACTATGAAATCATCCTTATATAATTTTTTGGGTTATTAATTATTATTGTTTGATATATTTAAAGAAGCTATTAGAGTCGGTAGTTTGGGTATTTGAGCGATTGGTTAAATTTGTACGTAATAGACTTTCCGTGTTTGTTAAGTTTATCATATCTAGAGTAGTTAATTAACGTTAAGCTGTAATAATAAATTATATAATATATATATATATATATTTTTTTTTTTTTTTTTTTTTTTTTTTTTTTTTTTTTTTTTTTTTTTTTTTTTTTTTTTGGTTTTTTTTGTTCTGATTTTTATTGTTATTTAATATGGGTATT